AAACTTTTTTTTTTAATAAAATTGTTTATATTAATTTTTTCTTAATTTTTTTTAATCAAATTTTTTATTACCACCTGCTATTTTGTGCATTTAAAATTTCTCTTTCATCCATAATATTGCTAAAACACAGGTAGTGGAGCGTCCCGAGTGTGATGTACTCATTCAAATCACATCGTGCTCGCAATGCCACAACTGTTCGGTATTAGTCTATGACGAGGAGATTATGTCCGGTTGGTCGGCCGAGGATTCCAACTTGAATACAACCTGCCATGCATGTAATAAATTAACCGTGCCATTCCTGAGCGTGCAAATTGTGGTGGACGACTCTTTGAAGGCGCTCAAGCAATCAGACAGCTTGACAATTCCATATCTAAATCCGCTGGTTTTGCGTAAAGAGCTCGAAAATATACTGACACAGGAGGGTGATATAGCGCTGGTGAAGCCAAGTTTCGTGGAAGAGCATCCTATCATTTATTGGAATCTATTGTGGATCATGGAACGTATTGAGAGTAAAACGCACTTGCCAGAGCTTTGTTTGCCCGTGGCGGTGAGTGGATGATAATTGCTGCAATTTAATTTTTTTTTTTTTTTACTAATTTATTTATTCTTCTTCAACTGCAGTCTGATGAGGAGTGCGATCCGCTCAGCAAGGTGAAGACTGTCAGCATTCAATGCCTATGGGACAATTTAAGACTACACAGCGAAGCTGGTCCGCCCATGTATATACTGCATAAACAAAATCAGCCAGCCAGTCCGCTGCTGAAAGCGCTACTCACCGATCAGGCGCATTTGAATAAGAAGTAACTCGCTATTTATTCTTTCTCCTACACTCATTTATTTATTGATTTTCTCTTTTAAATTTTAGTGTCATTCAACAAATAATTTCAGCCATACGCTGCAATGATCTGCTAACGCCCGTCAAGCGCTTAGCCAATGAGCGCCACAAGTTGCAGAATAACGGCGTCAATCGCACACACTCGATTTATCGTGATATACTCTTTTTGGCGCTCACCGCCATCGGACGCTCCAATGTCGACTTGGCCACATTCCATCGCGAATACGCTTCGATCTTCGACAAGCTGACCGAAAAGGAATGTAAAATGTTCTATCGCAATCAAGATCTGCCACCGTCGGCGGCAACCATCTTCTGTCGCGCCTACTTCAAACCGTTATTGCTTCCTTGACGTGAAATCAATTATATGCAGCACGATTTCCACAACAACAACAAGAATGCGAAGACAGCAAATACCAATGCGCATGAAGAGAGCGTGGCGGCAGCGTTAAGCGATGCTGCAGTTGACAATGATGTTGTGTAATATGAAAATGTAAATTGAATTATGGTATGATAATAACGTGAAAAACAAGTAAGATATACGATGATGCTGTGGTTTCGAACGGAAATGGCAATCTTAAGACGGTACATAATAACTTTACAGACTTATGTTGGATAAATTAGTGTGCGTATGTGTGTGAGGTGTTTGGGACGTGTGCGTGTGTGTGTGTGAATGCCACGAAATCTCGTTTACACTTTGAAAGTTTAAAATATAGTTTAGCGTAGGAAATTATGCCACATACATAATTATAACGGAACTCATCTGTTGACTTTATGGCCTTGAAATTAGTTTGACATTTTTTTTTATCGTTAACATTTTATTTTATGCAGCGCTGTGTTCTTTTGTATGTTAAACATAAAACAGGGTGTTAGAAAAGGCAATATTAATGTAGAAACTGCATAAATCAGCTAAAAAACTATTTTTTATTTCGCAATACAAAATAATTTTTTTTATATCTTATTAACAAATGTTTATTATAATTAACAAAATTTTTGGAAATTTAAAACTTTTTTAAATTGTTATTGACAATTCTTTTTTTTTTAATTTTTT